TCCTGCACTGCGGCCTGGTGCCGCTGCTGCTCCTCGCCGCCGCGCTGCGACGCGCGGCCTGAGCCGGTGCCGCCGCGGAGCTCCCCCAGGCACCCGTTTTGGGGGAAAGGGACAATAAAATGGCCTTGTTTGGAGGGGGGAATCATTCGGGTGGCTCCTGGTGGCTCCTTTGGAAAAGCCCCACGTTGGACAAGGAGACCCCCCGTGCAAGACCGAGGCTCCCCATAGACAGGACATCCCCGTGGCAGCTCCTGCTCACTCGGGTGATGAGTTGGCAGCGCTCAGGCTGCGTTTTCCCACCCAAATTCCCTCCCAGGAAACGCTCCCGGCAGCCTGCAGGGGAAAAGGCTTCGACCCGCGACGCTGCAGATTGACCTGCCTCGAAACGGCAGCAAGAGGGACAGAGGACACTTGTCACCGTCACTGCGAGGACTCAGCCCCGGGCAGCGCAGAGCGAAACCTCTGCAGCCGCAGCAGCACCGAGGGGGAAAGCAGCAGGAAATCCAGGGATGAAGCTCCAGCTGGATCCACGGCAGCCCCTGCACATGCCCATTTCTCTTCCTTAACCACGGAGATGGATGGCGAGCGCGGACGTGTCAAATCAAGTTTAAGGCATCCTGCCTCCAGGGACGTCGCCCGTAACGCACGGGAGAAATCCAAGCTCTCCGAGCGCGGCGGGAGATGGATGAGGCCGGGTGTTTCCTGAGCCCTGTAAATCCTGGTGCTCGGCTCCCTGCCTTCCCGCAGGGCGAGCGGCCCCGGCGCACGGAGCCACCCGGAGCTTTTGTCACCCTCCTGACGGTGTTCGGAAGGCGGCGAGCGCTCGTCATCCCTCCTGGCAGCCGCGTTTGGCTTTTAAGGAGCTGAGGAGCCAAAACGGCCCTTGAAAACGTCAACGAGAAGATCAGTGGGATAAGCACAGCGAGCCGGGCCCAAGCGGACGGCAGAAATCACGGCCGCAGCCTTGCAGCTCTGCACGGAGACAGCACAAATCCTCCCCGCGCCGCGGAGGAAGCCTGGGCTCCAGCAATGCAATCTCCAATACGACAGCTCGGCGCCGCCGGAATTTGCTCTGATTTAAGCACTTGTCGGGCTGTAAAAACGCGGTGGTTTTTCCTCGCTTCTTGCATCCTTATCTCTGCGGGCAGAGGGTCCCTTATGGCCGGGAGGACGTTTTGGGGGCTGTTTTTCCCATCCGGGCCCAGGCAGATCCCCTTTGCCCACGTGCATCCCCGAAGCCGGTCGTCTCCGGGACGAGCCGGGCTGCGAAAGGGCCGGAGACGCAAAGGGCAGAGCCGGGAAGAGCCCAAGGGAGCCGGGTGAGAGCCACCCCCGTCCCGTCCTGCGCTCCCCATCAACCAGCAGCTCCCCAAGGGGATGGGCGGGATGGGGATCCCAGCGGGATGGGGCTCCCAGCAGGATGGGGAGCCCAGCCCCGTCCCCGTCCCGCCCGTTCCTCCGGATCGCGGCCGCGCGGGGGCATCGCTCCCGTTGGGCCCTTCGCTGCAGCCGGCGGCGCGGAGCCGCTCCGGGAGGTCACGGGGCCGCTCGGAGCTGGAGCGGCGCCACGAGAAGAGCCCAGCGGGGCCAGCAGGGCCCGTCACGGGCACCTCGGCGCTCGCCAAGGGCCACCCCCTGTCCCCATGGCCATGGGGTCGTGCTCAGCTCCGCTCCGGAAGGCGTCTCCAAACTCGCATCCCTGTTTTCCATGCGGAGCAGCCCCTGCTCCAGGCACCGAGTCCCGGGCAAAGCCCCGTTGCTGATAGAAGGCAGCGCAGCCACGGCGCGCAGCGCGGGACGTGCCTCAGTTTCCCCACTTTGGGGGGCATTTCATGGATCTCAAAGCAGAGCTGAGCTCGGAAGGGCTGGCCAAAGAGCAGAGCCCACCAGCCACCCGGATCCCTCCACAGATGGAAAGGGCAGCGGGCGCCGCTGATCCCAGCGCCGGCGTTTATCTCCATGAGCGAGTGAAGGGGGATTATTCACTCTCTCCTGACGAGCGGAGATAAACGTCATGTCGGAGATCAGCCGGCGGGGATTATATACAATATATACGTTTGTCAGGCCCTGTTCTCCAGGCTCGGCTTGCGTTTGGTGACAGGTGCTGAGAAGCGCACGGACACGCGGGCTCCGACCCGCTCCGCAATTTGTCAGCGGCTCCGTCACCCGTGACATAGCGGACGGCTCCAAAACGCTCCCACCAAACCGGCAGCCAGGAATTTCTCAACCAAGGGCACGC